CTTAACCAAGCTCACAAGATTGAAAGTACCCTTCGTCTTTGGGGAGGAGCAGCAAGCATCCATGCAGAAGTTAAAAGATGCACTGGAGAACTGCCCCTCGCTAATGCCTCTTGATTATGAACTGGATACAGATGTGATATTGGGCGTCGATATGTCGTTCAAAGCAGTGGGATTCTACATTTGTCAAGTCAATCCTGACAATCCCAAATGGAGGAGATATGCCAGGTTCGGGTCGATTGTACTTAATGAGCGCGAAGCTCATTTCTCTCAACCAAAGAGAGAGCTCTATGGATTATTCCGGGCACTACATGCTTGCTGACATTGGCTCTTCGGCTGTCACAAGTTAGTAGTGGAAACGGATGCGAAATACATCGCAGGAATGCTTAGGAACCCAGATGAAGTCCCTAATGCGGCTATTAACAGGTGGATCGAATCAATCTTGATGTTCCACTTTACGTTAGTACATATCCCTGGCGAGCGGCATGCCCCAGATGGTCTCTCGAGACAGAGTTTCCAACCAGGGGATGAGGAGTATTCAAATCCGGAGGACGAGTACGAACCGGTAGAGGCGGATGAGTTGGAATTCGTGAATGATACTGAGGAGCCCATCCCGGACATTGCGGATTTCAAAGATGGAATTGACACGAGACATGGATATGTTACCATTGAGCGAGCGGTACATGAGGAGAAAATTATTAAAGAAGCCCTGGACACTGCTGAAGTATTTGCGGTATGACGCAACAAAGGAGTGTTGCTACCAGATGCAGAGGAGTTCATGGAAGCTGGAGATTATCCGGAGGAACGCCGGAGCGGGTATGCTAAGATGCTCGATAGAGAGCTCACTCAAGTAGTGGCTTGGCACGTGAATCCCACCCAGCGTCTGGAAGGATTTACGGACAACCAGTATCAAAATTTCATTCGCTACACTAAGAACTTCGTGGTAGAGAGAGGGAAGCTTTACAGAAGAGATATGGAGAACGAGCACAAGCTAGTGATCTATCCTGAATGGCGGATGTACATTATGAAGGCTGCGCATGACCAGTTGGGTCACCATGGCATCTACGCTACAAAAATGCTAATTAAGGAAAGATTCTGGTGGCCCGAGATGGAACGAGATATCGCGTGGTATGTGAGTACCTGCCAGATATGTCAAGAATGCCAGAAGACAGTGATCAAAGCACCGCCTACCGTAACGTTTACACCTTCGATATTTCAGGTGTTGCATGCGGATACGATGCACATGCCTCAGGCCTCGAACGGACATAAATATATAGTCCACGGTCGTTGCGCGCTCACTAGTTGGATGGAAGGACGTACCTTGGCAAGCGAATCAGCGCAAGCTATAGGAGAATGGCTATTTGAGGACATTATCTGTAGGTGGGGGTGCTTGTCCCTCATCGTGACGGATAATGGTAAGCCATTTAAAGCTGCTGTAAAGTACTTAGAACATAAGTACGGGATTAAAGGTATCTTGATAGCGCCTTACAACTCCCAAGCGAACGGAAGGATTGAGAGACCGCACTGGGATGTGAGACAGGCCCTGTACAAGGCCTGTGGTGGTAACGAGAAACACTGGCATCATTACTTTATTCTGGTAATGTGGGCTGATCGCATCACAGTAAGAAAAAGGATGGGGTGTTCCCCATTCTTTGCGGTAACAGGCGCTCATCTGATCCTGCCATTAGATGTGTTAGAAGCTACTTGGCTGGTGGAGTACCCTGGACGAATCATAGAAGACTGGGAGCTCCACGGGCTAAGAGCTATTGCACTAGAGAAGCACGCGGATCGAGTTGCAAAAATGAGAAGAGACATGGATACCACTAAATGAGAAATGACATTGAAATATGCTAAGATGAATGCCAACAAAATCAAGGAATTCAAGTTTAAGTGCGGCGATCTGGTACTGATGCGAAACAGTCAAATAGAGAGCTCACTAAACACAAAAATGAAACCTCGATATTTGGGACCTTTGGTAGTCGTACATCGCACCAAGGTTGGCAATTACATTTTAGCAGAGTTAGACGGGTCGATTCTACGTACTAAGGTCGCCACTTTCAGAGTAGTGCCCTACTTAGCCAGGAAATCAATTGATCTGGGTGAGGGGGTATTGAAGCTCATGGATATGACACATGCAGAGTTAGAAAACTTGATAGAATCGCCGGAACCTAAGGATAAGGTCCCAGCGAACTTCGCAGATGATTATCCAGAGACAGAGCATCTTAAAGTGTCAAAAGAGATCGACTTAGATATTTAAGTTTAGTGAGCTCGCTAAGAAGATGAGCAGAAAACGCCCTCTACAGGCCTGTGATTGCAAGTAGGAAGGATACAAAGTGTATAACTACGATATACACAAGAAAGAACAATATACTACACATAGAAACAGGAAGAGAGAGAAAATACGAGTAATAATGCGCCGTGAACCAGTTGCCATCTGCCGGGTTGGGACCAAAGATACAAACTGCAAACTAGAGCGCCGCTGGGTCCAAGCTCACTGAGGTAGAGGCAGCGGGGCCGCACTCAGCATCCGAAGAAGAGGGGCTCGCCAAAGCAGTCTCCTTGGGAGGAGCAGATAAAGCATCCTGAATCCCAGAGAGCTCGCTAAGGAGGAAGGCCCATTGTTTCTCAGCAGCGAAGATAGTGTGCTGGATAACAACCAGGTCCCCCATGACGGCGCTCTCAAGCCGGGCCAGGTGGTCCAGGGACTCGACACGGAGAGCACCCACGGACGACCCTTGCTGAGACGAGCGAGGAGCCTCGTTAAGGGTGTTGCTTCCGGCTTCACTGGCAGCTGAAAAACCCGGATCAGGAAAGGAATAAAGCGGTGAGAAGAAAAAGAGATGCACTGGTACTGACGAGACCGAGAACAGAGGCCGACTGACGTTTGCTGGACCCCTTAAAGGGGTAGTACTCCCTTGCAGACGGCAATGGGAAGGTGTGCCGAGAACGTTTGGACTCGCGATCGCTGTCCTTGTAGTACTGTTTGGCCAAAGAAGCCTAGGGAAATTGAAGATTAGTGAGAGAATTAGTGAGCTCACTAAAGATAACGACTCACGGCGCCTGGGGCAGTGCAGTCGAGGAGGGAATGATCGTTTCCGCCGCAATGGAAGCAGGCAGAAGGTTCCTCCTAGAATGGAAAGCTTTTAGTGTGGGGGATATCGAATATAAGCGAAATTACCCACCTTAGAAGGCTCCTTACGCTTCTCACCAGCCGAAGCTTCACTCGCCTTGCCCTTGGAGAACTTGGGAAGCTTGGCAGCGGCCGACTTGGAATTGTCATCGTCAATGACCATCTTGAAAAGGCCATTAGTGAGCGCGCTTATAAGAGAACACGAGATCTAGAGAAACCGTACTTTAACAGAGTCTTCATCAGAATCAGAAGCTTCAGCTACCTTGTCATCACCATCGTCATCATCGGAATTGGTGTCGACGATGGCAGTAGACTTTTTAGCTGCACGGGACCTGCCCTTGCTGCAAGGAGCGGAGTTCGACTGGAAAGAAACAGTTAAATACGGATAGAAGCAGGAGAAATAGAGAACTCACTTCACGACGAGGACCTGTAGGGATAGGAGCAGCAGGAGAAGCCTCTACCGACTGACGCTCCATCTGCACCCAACCAGTGATGGTCTTGAGGACCTTGTGAATGGGTTGCTTGGAGGCGTTAGTATGAAACTTCTTCTCGATTGCGCTCCGGGCCTTGAAGATAGTCTTGTGGAACTCCTTGTCTGTGATGAGCTCCTCCTTGTGATGCTCGAGGTGATCCTGACAAAATCAGGTCAGAAACGTCGCAAAAATTAGTGAGCTCACTAAAACTTACGGTGTACTCCTGGAGCTGGCCCATTTTCTCAGCAGCAGTAACGCTAAGGTTCTGGCAGAGCTGAGTAATGATGGCCTTCACAGCGACAAAGGGCATAGCAGGAGCAGCAGTTGAAGACATAGTAAGAGATGAGGGTGTTTTGGCTGAAAAACGCAGAGAAAAGCACGAGTACTGTTTGAGAAAATGAGTGGTTGGGATGAAAATTGTCGGTAGACTGGCCTCGCTTTTATACCAGTACTTGCAGCAGCCACAGATGGAAAAATTAAAAATTTAATCCCAACAAATCACGACTTAGAGAGAACTTCACAACCTAGCAAAGCCCGAGCGAACAATGAAAATTGAAGTACAATGGGCTTTGATAGATTTGAAATGGGGTTGATAGGAGAAGTTTAGAGTCGGTCTTGAAGAGATTAGTGACTGAGGACAGTCAATGTCTTTTAGTGTGGGGGATATAGTGGTATACACAGTATACCTTTAATATTATGTGGAATTAGGACATAAATTTTCGATTCTACGAACAACACCAAAGAGATATTGGCACGTGAAAAAGCAGCCACTTAGGTGAAGATGTCAAATATTTGAAATAAGGATGGAAACAAGTCCGCAGAAACGGCGACTGACTGAAAGACCGGTGCCAAAAGGGACAGGAATGAAAGAACAAACAAAGAGTTTTGGTATCCAGAAAACAAAACCCTAGATACAAGACAGATGACAGACGCTGAAAAAGACAGAGAAACCACACAAGCCTGAAGAAACTAGCGAGCTCGCTCGCCAAGACGCGAACAGATATGGCATCAATGCAAATCAGGGACTTAGAGTTCTGATGCAGGGCCACATAGGCGATGACATCACCAAATCACCACCTGATCGTCTTCCGTGGCAGTGGTGTAAGAGTGTAATTTCTTTACTTCAGGTCTTTTTACTCTATATCGGAAGTCTTGTCTGATCACTACAGGCGAGAATCGAATCGAATCTGTTCTAAGTCGAGCCAGGTTGCTCTACCAGCAGGATTCCTATGCCTATCCTACTACTGCCTTCTAAGATCGCACATGAGAATCAGGACAAAGAGCAGCAAGAAATTTTGGATAAAAAGCCTTAAGGGCTGCAAGAAGATAACAAAGAGACAAAAAGGAGATATTACAGGAGATACATAGAAAGTCCGCCCACAAGATATACTACAAGGATATCAATCACTGGAGCTGCTGCTACCACTGCTGCTAGCAGAAGAGCCGTTAGGATCTAAATCCGCCTCGGACTCGTCACCCTTGGTAGGAGACTTCGACTTAGAACCAGCCACAGAATGAGAGGACTCGCCAGGCTTTGGCAAATTAAGAGGACGACCGAGGGAGCGACGAATACCATCATCGATGACGAAGCTAGAGACTTCCTCGTAGGTGGAAGCCAGGCCTTCGATGATGGCATTACCGTTCTCATGGCCGGCAATCTGGTCGAGAGAATCCGCGAGCTGGTGAATCAGGCGGTCGCGCCTCAGGAAGTTGCGGCGCATGAGCACATCGAGGTGCTCCAGGTCGTGGTTAAGTGCGCGGAGCTCCTTGAGATCAGACTCCATTGCTGTGGTGCCAAAAGTTAGTGAGCAGGCTAAAACGAGGAAAAATAAGAGAGAAATACTTACAACCGATGTTGTATCTCGTGTACTTGGCGAGCTTTGAAGATACCTTGTTCATTTCTTGAGCGGTGTACCTAGCAGAGCACCGTCCATGGTGACTGCTGGTGCACTGGTCACAGGCAGCACCTGGGAACCGGTTCGTCCAGGTACAAGGGATGCCCCTAGTTGAACAGGGAACACAATCACCAGGAACCTGAAAAAGGAAAAGACAAGTCAGGAGAAGAAAGAGAAAATAGTGAGCTCACTCACATCGGGAGCCCGCGTGAAATAGGGGAAAGGATCTGAACACGCACCAAAGGTGCCGTTCTTGTCACCATACCGAACGGGCCTAGAAAGAAGGAAATAAGATGAGGCAGGATGGCAAGAAGGAGAAAGGAAGAACTTACTTGAAGAAGGTGGCCAGACCCTCACGGATATCATCGAAGGTCAGGACCTCGAGCTCTGCGCAGCTAGTGGAATGGTGGCCGACGACCACACCAGTATCAGCCCCAGGCTTGCTAAGCATGTAACGAGCGTCAGGCTTGCAACCTCGCTTCTTGGCCGGCTCCTTCACGTGTAAGGCCTTCTTCTTCTTCTCCTTCTTGGCCTCGGAAACCCTACGCTTCTTTCTGGGAGGCACGTCGTCATCAGGGTCCGACCCTGACTCCTCAGGGAGCTTGACGAGGGAAGGAAGAATAGCTGCCTTGGTGGCAGCCGCACGTGAGCGTGTCAGAGGGACATGAGGAGGAGAAATCGCCGCCGGCGGAGTTGAAGGAGTAGCAGCCTGGGACTGCTTCTTGCGCTTGGAGAGACGAGAAGGCCCAGCTACAGGCTCAGGACCAGGCGAAGCGACCGGACGACGAGCAGAAGAGGTACGAACGTGCACAGAAGGAGGGGGGGAAGGGGCAGAGTCCTCGTCACGAGGAGGAGTCACAGGAGGAATATTGGCCTTCTGGACGACCCCCTTCTTGCCCCTCCTCTTGGAAGAAGAAGCAGTGGCTTTGGCCTTCCCCTTGGCACGAGTGGTACGCTTGGGGATCTCAGTAACAGGGGATCCCACGTCAAAGTTGTGGTCGTCGACGAGGTCGCTGGAGACGGCGTTATAGATAAGCTCGGGTGAAGGTACCCGGACTCCGTCGACAACAGGCATGTCATCGAAAGGATTGCCAACGTCGCCAAATGGAGGCGGAGGCAGAGGAGGAGATGTAGAAGGAGGACGATGTCCATCCTCCTCCTCAGAGCTAGGGAAGAATAACGGCTCTTGAGGCCGTGGAGTAGAGACGCCCCCCCGGGAAGCAGGAGGAATGGGTGCTACAGAAAACTCCCCTTCTCCAACAACAGGGGGAAGGGGGGGCCTAGCCTGAGAATGGAGACGACGCCGAGGGGTACAACTTGAGGTCGCGATGCGCTGAGCAGTGCGTGTAGAGACTACGGAAAACTGAGGAAAGAACAATGAGTAACGGAGAAGAAAAACACAAAGAGAAATGAATTGCTCACACTCGGCGGAGGAAGCCTGGGATCTGGAGATAACGGCTGAGAACCAGGAGGGATCAATAGGGAGAAAGTGGGGGGTAGGTGGAAAGCTTACCCTCTGGGGTTGAGGCTGGCATCTAGGACCAGGAGCTAGAAGAAAGAAGATTTAAGTTAGCGAGCTCACTAACTTAGGAGGAAACACTCAGCTACTTACTCGGTGGGGTAGGCAGCACGGGGAGACTAGCGGTACTAAAGGATGAACACGGTTAGAACTAGCGAGAGGAGCTAGTAGAAGACTTACACGCAACGGTTGAGGTCGAGGAAGGTCGCAGCCGATGGCAAGGTATTGCCGGAAGTTAAGGACGGGTTCCTCAAAGTCTGCTGGAGATCTTGAAGAGAGGCCGCCACTTGGTGGCGACCGTGACGCACGGCGGGAGGCTGAAACCCAGAAAAAGGAGGAGGCTGAGTAGCCGGCCGTGGGGCCTGAGGAGCTAGAGCCTGGTAGGGTGGAGGTGCTGTCGTTGGTGGCCCCACAGGAGGCATGGAGAGCGGAGGATAGGCGGTAGCCAGGGTTAGCGTCTGCCCAGTAGAGAGCGGGCTAAAATTCGAAGTGACTGGCGCCCGGGGCTGGGCACCACGGCGACGACTGGGGCAGGGGAACTGGAGTCCCTCGCTCTGAAGCCAGCTCGTCGACGTCGTCTGGCAAGGGAGTCGGATACCGAGGGAAAACCACGCCCGGAAAGGCGTCCTCGTCGATCAGTGGAGTTCGTAGCAAGGCTTTGGATTCGGGAACCTCCCGCTGCAGGAGGTAATAGACCAGGGGGAGCGGCGGTGAAGTCATGACAAAACCAGGTTCGCCAGGGAAGGGCAACCTGACCTCCAGGCTAGTCAATACCTGTGAGACCAAACCGTGAGCCGGGTGAGGAGAGAGAAGAAGCGTAAACACCTACATGCGAAGAACGCATCTCCGCGGGGACGCGTGCTAGCACCTGATTCCAGTACCGGACCCTAAGCCTGGGAGGCAGGGTGTGGTGCCAGCGCGTAAGGAATCCCCAGATACAAGCGCCAATATGCGAGTCGATGAGGCCTTGGTGGCAGAGGAGATGCATGTTAGGCAGCTAGACCAGTCGAAATTGGTTAGAATGCAAAGAGGAAAGGGAGTACCAGGAGACATACCAGCAGGGTGTAGACCTTATGAAACATGTCAGAGATAATCTCCAGGGTGTGCTCCTCGCGGTGATTGTACACCGGCACGAAGAGGGCCGCCACCCGACAGGTACGCGTAATAATACTCGCGTGGGTTGAAGCGAGCAAAGTACTGGTATCGCACGGGCTCCTCCGGAGACGGAGAAGGCTCAGGGATAGCGGCGACAGCTGGAGTCAGGTTGGACATGTTGAAAAGATTTCTGAAGCAAAGAGAAAAGTCAGCCAAAAGCAACAGCATGCGTTAGAACACGTACTGAGTGGATGGTGGTGACAGCGAGCACAGAGGATAAAAGACAGAGAGAGAGCTCACTAAAGAAGTGGGCGAAAAGAGTAGAAAGGTGGGAAAGCAAACTGGAGGGACTTAACTTTTATTTAGTGAGCTCTCCGGTCCCCGACCTTCTAATAAGAAAAGAAGCACTCGCGTGAGAACTTCTATGAACATTGATGTACCCGGAACCTGTGCCTTCGAATTCGGAGCACATGGAAAGGAAAGAGAACATGCGGACCCACAACGCGATGACTGAGGACGGTCAGGACTTTAGTGGGGGGGATATGTTGCGACTGCAGCCTATTTACGCATGTAATTTTGCAATGTAGAGTGTTTTACACGCATACTGAGAAATAGTGAGCGAGCAGACTAAAACTACGCATCGACACTAAGGCTACGTGGTGCAATGATATGGAATATAACTTATGGCATAAGAAGCAACGGGATTCTAAACAGGACTTAGTCACAGCACTGTACCTGATGGGCATGCGTGATGAGAAGGCCAAACCCTATACCCAATGCCTTAGGCTCTAACTTACAAGCACACTCGCGGGAGCTAGATAAAACCTTGAAGATTGCACTGGCACCAAGAACACTTAGCGCGCTCGCTAACTGTGACGCGCCATACCTGAAAATCCGGGGAAATCCTTAAGCGAGCTGACAGATATCACCGGCATGAGCTTGGGCAATGGGCTTCGGCCGAAGTCTGTGAGCCCGCGTTCCATTGTTCTGAGTCCCATTGTTCGAAGACTCACTTGTTGCCATGTCTATGAGAAGCCTCTGTGAATCCAAGAAAGAAGGCCTGAACGACATACGCCAGAACTGATAGTTCCGTGCGCCTAGACCTGTCGGTTGCTAGAGAACGAGCCCGCGGGTGTCGGGAGAGCACCTCTTGGCACGCGTTTAGCGAGCTCACTATAGAAATGAGACTAAAACTGGGAAGTCCGACTCGGATGCTCAGTAAGGCAGTGGTGGCAACGTGCTACACATGTAGGAGTCTGGGTACTGCACGACGTTTGTAATTCTAATTCCCCTGTAGTATAAGTAGACTGGTTACAGTAGGTAGAGGCCAAGTTTCGAGCCCCCAAGTTCCCATGCACGCGTTGAAGGCGGTACTGTAACAAAGGATCAGTTTGTGACTTCGAGCTGTGCATAGAATTAGCGAGCTCACTCAGAGAAATACGAGATACCCTTTTGATAAGACTTTTGAGAACTTAGTCAGAGTGAATACGAATCAGTGACACTGTTTCTGTTCTGTTAAGTGTGATAAGTCTGTTCAGAGAATGTGTTGAAGTGGAAATCTGAGATCTGTTCTGTTCTGTTCTGTTCTGTTCTGTTTCAGTCTGTTCCGTGTCAGTTCTGTTCGAAGTTCCGTTTCTGAATCTGTTTTCCAAGCGCTTCTGAAGTGTTCTTGAGTCGAGATAACCTGCTGGAGTTAGTTGGAGAACCCCTACATACAGTTGTGTAGTGAGCAGGCTAAGTCAGTGCTTGCCTGTGGTGTTCTTTTAGTGAGCTCACTAAAGTTTCGGCATGTATTGCCTCTGTTTCTGTTGGGATCAGTGTCCCTTGTGTATTATAACTCAAATCTGCCTTGAAGGTTGCGTCACGCCAGTGAACGACCTTCCTGTAAAAAGTTCCTAGACTTAGGAATTCATTAGAGAAAGCTTAGCTTCGCTAAGAGCGCTGAGAATAAGAGAAACTCTTCAAGATATTGAAGTATAGTTGGATCGCATTAGGAATAATCGCTCCCCCTAGAACTTACGAGGGTGATTGTAGTTTGTGTAGTTGTGTGAGTGTGTGTGTGGGTTTTTGAGGTTCGCCTTTTAGCCCACTCACTATTCCACAGGTGCCCACAGCCAGCCTCTTCATCGTCATCCTCGGAATCATCCTCAATGATATAGCGGCGGGCCTTCTTGGTCTTGTCAGAGATACTAGCAGTGTTTTTGTCATCCTCAATCTCTTCCACTGTAACACACTTCTGCTTGCTCTGCACATTATCGGGGACAGTCTTCAAGACAAGGATATTGGCAATCTATGACATCGTCAGAATAAAGAATATGAAAGAATATGTATTGGAGATGCACCTCATTGTTTGTGACTTCACGTTCTGAGTCCGACATATCCGTGCAAGTCTCTGACTCGTCGTTGGTAGCAAAGGCACTGTCACTGGATTCTGATGCTGTGCCATCAGTTGTTTCCTCTGTGAGATGAAGATATTCAGAGTATAATATGTGATCGAGATCGATGGTACTTACTGGGTTTAGCTTGTGTCTTCCGTTTCCCTTTCTTCCTCTTGGTGCGGCGGCATGTCTTTGGTGGGACTGTGAGTTGTCCATGCTCGTCTCGCTTTTCAGCATCCAAGAGCTCCTTCAGACGTCTGCTGGTGTTCAGCCTGTGTGTTCAGCCTGCCAATGCAAACATTCAGTATATAAAGACACACAGAGAGAGATGAACACATACTCTGTCCTTTGGTAGCCACGGTTGGTCCAGCCATTGGTACATTGTCATCTTTGTCAAAGTAAAAGTCAATTTGCGCTGCGGGTTTCAGCCTTCCATCGGTATCAAGAGCACACTGGTCAGAGGAATTAGACATCATGAACGAAGGATAGAGAAAACGAATACCTCTCTGTCTTTTATATGCTGGATGGTCGGCCATACCCCAGGAAGGATCGGAACACCGTCAAAATGTACAAGTGTCAGTAAAATTTCAATAAAATGTCGGCTGTCTCAGTGTAATAAGATGGGCTGGAATGGTTTGTTCATGACATCGGATAGCTGAACCAGAAGACGGCTGGAGAAAGCAAGTGACATTGACCAAGCTGGCAGCTTCTAATAGAGACATGATAGATGAATGAGGTTTAAGAAAATACATCTATATGTAAGGAATATAAAAACGGAACTGTTTGCAACGTGTCAGGAATGTGGCCAAAGGGTTTAGCCTTGTAAAACACACCTTGGTCTTCACTGGTAACAGGACTCCCTCAATGACTTTCTCAGCAGCTAGCGAGTCAAGCCAGATTGGATAGTGTCCAGGAATGGAAAGCCGACAGGTCCTGGCATCCACTGATACTCCTGTGGCAGGGTGGGCGCATAGCAACATGGGCGCTGGAAGTGACGTGTCCCAGTTATTTGCGTCAGATTGCCACATAATGGCATGATTTTTTATGCTGAACAGTAAGCCGTATTATGCCGTTAGATGGCCATATCTGAGGACCCATGATGGAGACGGAAGAACCGTATACCAAACCATATGAACATCAGTTTTGGCACTCTCAGCTTCAGCCCATATACCATATCACGGTTACCGATAGCTGTATTATATGGCTATGGCATGCAGCCCTACTGATGGAGGTAAAAGGCAATCAACGAGCTCCATAAGAACATAGGACATCATCAGACCCTAGGAATCATCAGAATGAATTCATGATCCATGTAGCCGAGGTATGCAGAACACTGGCCTCAAATCTTTTATCATGCACAGGTTTTTATTCTCAATTCCGAAGCATATGTAAATTAGACACAGGACTAGACATTGGTGACTTGACCACTTGAAGAAGGTATATCATGTTGTCGAGGTGGCGGTAAATGAACAGATGAGTGCCAGACTGTATCAGGAATGGTGCATAGGGGCCCTGGAGAAGGCTGTTGATGGCTGAGGAGGATGTGGGTTTGAGCTCGGGGAAGAAGTTGGACAAGGTGGGAGGGTAGAATGAGTACGTGTGCGGCACATTGACGCCAACATGTACAGCATTGTTAGTATTGTGCTGAGCATGTTCAGTCATTCAGTACCACTGTACTGTTCATTGTTTTGAATGGTACGTCACACTGCCTTCTACATGGCCTGATCTTGCCTGTCTCAGATCATATCAGTGAGCCAGCAGGAAATCAAAACTATGAACATTGGGTCACACACTTTTAATAATACATCAGGAAATGCAAATCCCATGAATACTCCCATAATTGCCGGGCAATGCAGCGGCTGATCCGAAGGAGACAGGATAGCCTGTCTTCATAAGGATAGTTGTAGAGGTGTCCGTGTGCTAGTTATGCTGGCACATGACAGGTTGATGCTGCTAACCACTGATAATCCTGGTCAGTGGATGTTCGCGAGCTCACCTCAATGGGGATGATGTCTTGGTTGACTGACTCATCGGTCTCGATGTGTGTCCGGAAGGATTCGGAGGGCAGCTTGTGTCTTCTCCAATTCTGGCAGCATGAAAGCCACATGAGGAATTGGATGCGAGGCAGACGATTGTCTCTCCACTGCAGACCA